TGAAACTGCACACCACACTCCAATCTTCTGACTTTAAGGGCACCTCATGGAAAACTTGTGGATTATCAGAGCTCCAAAACCTACTGTTCTGACTGTTTACATAACCACTTAAATGAAACCAAGCCTCATCTGTGAAGAAAATGTTGTCCAAGATGCCGACACCGTCCCTCACAAGTTCTCGGAACCATTCACAGTATTGTAATCTTTTCCCTTTGTCCGGTTCCTTGAGTTCGTGCATTGTGTGAATTCTGTAAGGCACAAGTTTCAGCCGCCTCGTACACCTCTGCGTTGTTCCATAACTCAATCCAGTCTGCTGTGCTAATCTTGTTAAGGACTTCCTGGGTGACCATTCTGAGTACTGCTTAACATCATTCAAATTTTCATCACTCAGACTTGATGGCCGTCCAGATCGCTTCTTGTCACTTACGCTGCCTGTTTCACGAAAACGGTAAGCAATTCGGCATATTGTTGATTTATGCGGCACGCGTGATTCTGGAAAACTACGCACAAACGATTGTTGGCATTCCGTGTACGAATTCGTCTTAATATAATGTTCCATAATGAATACTCGCTCCGCTTGTGAAAAACTCATCTTACACTTTCGAATGCTGTTACTCAACTGGTGAGACCTAGCGGATGTCTCAAGGTCATATTGCCTGCGCAACACCCGGCCGACAGTACAGTGTTGCCAACACTACTTTTCCATGCCCTTCTGCACGACTTTCGGATCACCCCGTATATACCTACCATTAGACTCTCCAGAGTATTAGCAAGTATCAAATAGGTCCTGTGCACTTGTATCACAAACTCGCAAAACTTCATTATGATTTCGCAAATCTGTCGAAGCACACCTGTAACACAAACATTGTACAGCATGTTTCAAAAGTAGCTTTACAACTTGAGGGCGATAAAACATACATATGCACTGATGTAATGTCATAGAAATCACCTTAGTACAGGCAAATTTACCAGTTCTGTACACTTTGCTTAGATTAACATTAAGCCATTTCATTTTGCATCCTCTCCTCCTCACAAACATATATATCTGAAAAAGCAACTACTCACGCAGTGTGTTGTTCACCCACTTCTCTTGTGAAAATGTCCTGTAAGGGAATGACAGTTGTTAGACAAAGTTCTGAAAGGGAAGAAGACAAATGCCAACATTCCTCCAGTATTTATTTCTTAATTTTCAAACTTGTAACTACGGACTTCATCACGCACCAGTACTTCATGGCATGAGATTAGGCACAGAGGCTAATTACCTTTACAATACTAGATCAAGTGATCAACTTAGTTTTCAAAATTGGTAATATTTCCAAAGCTACTTACTTTCTAATAATATACTGTGAACTACAAATAAATAATTATAACAAAGTGCTGAGAATATCTGGTAACTAAGAGGAAGATAAGTGATTAGAAAGGATGTTAAAGCAAGCGTCATAATTTGTTCTCTCTACTTAACGCTGTTCAGGTGAGGTTAGTTACAATTCTAAATGTCCAAATCTTTGTTTTCTGGTATTGCTTTTATATCTGTTATATACCTACCATTATAACCTGATAGGACGTATAAGTATTTCGTCCTACTCCCACACAACGGTTAATCGCTTTTATGATGTTCTGAATTGTTTTTAACACACCTGTAACTCAAACATAGCATAGCTACACTTCCTGAGTGCATGATTGGGAGTAGTCTTGATAGTTGGTGACTGAAAGTATTTATAACAAACTATTAATCCAATGTGACAAGCAATAATATAAAATTGTAATAATCGAACAGTGCCCAGTTAATGGTGATTCATGGTTATCCGCTCCAACCTGTAATCACAGTCCCACCACACCATACACAAGAGAAGAAGGGGACATGTAAATGGCTAAAGATTAATAAAGATAACTTCATATATCATACATGTGTCATTTCATCTCATTTGTCTGAATAAAGATTTCACATCTTAAAAGGTTGCTGACACATAATGAATCATGAATTATACAGTAACACAAATAAAAGTAAAGCTGTCCCACTATAAGCCATGTAGTCGCTCGAGGGTATAGCTCCTACTCATTCTTGACCTCAGCACGAGATGGGGTGAGTGGTCAGGAACATGCCCTGGCTGCGCTTTACCCCAGGAAAGGACCCCAGACCCATTGGATAGTAGGGTGGGTGGGCCCCTGAACTGGTCTGTAGGCAGAGGCCAGTCTTTAGCCAGTCACTATACTGACTGACCTACATCAGCTATTTATAAAGTAGTTTGAAAAATATAAATACACTTCCATGTAAAGTGGTAGTCCATTATTTTTAACTAGAATTATTGTGCACATGCACATAGGTGACATACTGCTTTGTAAAACATTTCTAAAGATAAATTTTACAAACATAAGCACGAAGGATACCATAAGACCTGGTATTCCAAAAACACAATGCATCAGAATGCCAAGCAGAAATAAAATTTTGTGTCGTCCCTGAAGATTTAATTTTGCATTAATCATTAAAATCACAAGTGTGTGACAACTCATTATAGATGAATGAACATACCTTCTTATGAGCTCCCTAATGCTGTGCCCTGCAAAACCCACAGCCCCTCCTGAGCCCTGCAACAAGAGTTGTGATTCTAATCTATGGTATGCAAACTTAATACTCACAGTTCTAGTACAATGCTGGTAATCAGTTCAACCAAACACTGTTACATGATAAATGTTGTAAATTTTTACATCCATGAACTACATAAAAAATGTCTTAATATTAAGTTTTTTTCTGTGCGGAATTTTTGTGTGGGCTTTCTTCATGTGCGCATTTATCTGGTCACCTGTTCGGTCATATTATCGTTCTTCTCTCAATGTTTCGCAATTGTCAGCCACTTGAAATACCTAGCAGTTATGCACTTTGTAGGATTTGAGGTTTTCACGGTGGTGAGTTTGAAGATGGCTGTCTTCTGGGTAGCTGCGCCATGTAGTCTGGTAGAAATTTACCGACGTTTCAGTGGCCCATGCTGCCTCCCTCATCAGGGCTTCTCATTCTTTAACCATTGGTGTTATATGGGTTTGTTGCTTGTTGGTATACAGTTTTCCAAATAAGTGCTACTAAAATTACTTTAAAAGCAAAAACTGTTTTTAATTGTGATTACGGCCCAATATTTCTGGAAGTGGTATGACTTTAAAAGCATAAACTGTTTTTAATTGCGATTACGGCCCAACATTTCTGGAAGTGGTATGAAGTCTCTGTTCAAATATGTCATTAATGTAATAATTACCCGTGTTTGTATTTGCAGCAGAAAAAAGGAAGACTTGTACGATTCTTGTGAGTCAGTTTCAGAGAGGTAGTTTCCAAATTGTTAAAATTGTAATCATTGAAGTCAGTTACTTGGAAACCACCTACCAGCATGTGACGGCTAAATTGTGTGACTAGTTCATTTCCTGGTAGTTCGCTGGCACGCCGTCATAGCAGTTTACACAAGTGGGACATAATATATATGGAAACACTGAATAGAGTGTGTATCTGGAAGGAAACGATTCCCACTTATTACGCTTTCTTTGCTCGATGTGCATGAAATTAACGTAAAAAGTGGTGGTCATGTCTTTCTGTCCGTTTGCAGAATTTTATTTTGTGTATGACTTGAAATTTCTTTTGGTACAGCAGTATGGTTAGTGTGCCTACCCTGTAATCGATAGGTTTCTGCGTCTATTCTCTGTCAGGAGCCACAATAATTTCCGTGGAAAGTATCGTGGTTCTGGACAATACGTGGTGGACATCATGTCCAGTTCGTTCTGTTTCATCAACCTGTCGTCCTTTCTCGCACTGTAACCAAAACAGTTAACTGATTTTATGATGCAGTATCCTATCTCTTCTGGAAAATTAAGGCGCCTTACCAGAATTGGACACCATCGCAAGTAATTTCAATCAGTTCCCACCTTCATATTGTTTAACGCCATTTGAACCAAAGCAATCCTCTGTTTAACACCCAGATCTTCCAAGTGGGTTCTTCCCCTGATATTTCAGACCAAGATTGCGTGTGCCAGGGCTTCTCGACCTTTTCAAGACCTGGGCCACATTCACCTTTTCATATCGACTCCTGGGCTGCCTAGTTGTAAATGAGTACAATGTGTTGAAAATTCATGACAGTTTACTGAAACTGCTGCTAATTGTTACAGACAGGTTCACATGTTTGGCCTACCCAGTAATGTTCTTTAACATAATTGTTCATTTTGTTGTATATGAGTATGAGGTAATAGGATATTGTTATAATTGCTAGTTGCATATTATAATTGTTGCATATGTATGTTAAGTCATGTAATATGGGTATTAGTTACAAATTGTAATGAATTTTAGCTCTGGTACTTTAATGTAAGAAACTTTATTATATTCACTCTTGCCCAACTTTGTAACTCGGACTTTCACCGATGTTATTCTCTTTTGATAATTAAGTTGTTTTGAAGAAAACGGAGACATTGTGACACTGTCGTCCCACAAATGTACTATTTAAAAATAATTAATAAAACATCAACCAGAGTCCGAGAATAAGGCCAGTGCCAGAGGGTACCTTTCATAAGAAACCATGGAATGTTCTAGAAGCTTTATATATATATATATATATATATATATACACACACACACACACACACACACATATATATACATATATACGGAGAACATATATTGTCCCTGGCAGGCTACGCCCTTGCTGACCAATATATATAGCAGCAAGAGCATCACAAAACACACTCTGATCTGTAACAAGTTTAGTCTTGACGACAGTACTGCCACTGCCACAACCTTAAGAAGCAACCTGTTGTACATATTGCTACATATTACTAATAAATCTCTTGTACAAGTCTACTCTCCAGCAGCTATTACTCGAACTGATGTTTTATTTTAAAAATTTGACTATTAATTTTGATTTTGTTCTTAGTACCTAAATTGTTTAAATAATTTATTAAGTGTTATTCTTGAGTCATATAGATACAGGACATGTTGAATCATGTTTTAGAAGTCACTTAAAATTTGTAATTCATACTCTACATTCATTAATATATTGTGCAGATATAGATATCTTTAATTTGCACAACTAGAAAACTGCCTTTAGAGTTGTGACATTTTCTTTTTGTAATAGGGCACATTTAAAAAGGTTGAACCCCTGTGGGAGCTGCAAAATTACAAGAACAAAATGTACAGTTTATTTAATGTCATATTTTTAATAAACAAATTTGAAAAGTATTAATACAATCAAAACAATGAGATAATTAATGTTCTTAAATCATACATGTTTATCCAATTTTCCTTTCTTAGGTAATTTATGCTTATAACATCATGTCCATGGTGTACAACTTCTGAATCAACTGACGAATTTTCACGAACGTTAGTTTAGACATAATGTTCGTGAAAGTGTACCAAATATTTTGTTTTAATTCCCTGTCATAAAAGAGCAACATAATGCCCTGCATATGAACTTAGGAGTTATGTGCGACATTAGTACCAATTAATGAACTCTCGAAATGTTTATGTTCCAAAGATGTTTATAAAATGCAGATTTTATTGAGATAATTTTATGGAGCTTTATGAAAGGGCATATGAAAGGCAGGAGAAAATTATGTTTTGATTTCGTGGCAGTATCCATGCAAGATAGGAATGGGAATTTAGCATAGAGATAGATTATAAATGTATCTGAAAATTTTTAAATAATTTTGTTTTGTTCATCAGAAATTAAATGCATGAAGACTAACATTTGAGGTTATATATGACACCTTCCACGCAGGGAAAATCTTCAAATATAAATATGTGAAGGAAAGAAGGCATTCTTTCTAAAATCTTTTGATAAATTTATGGCTGAAAGAACAACAGTGAGATGTCTGGTTTTATTTTTCCGACTTCTAAATATGAAGGCAAATGTCACAATAGTCATCTTTTTGTTCGTGACCTTGTGGGCCCCATTCGAAAGTACAACGCGTGACCCTGGGGTTCCTACCACTGTTCTACATCATGGAACAACTCACTTAAAAGATATTCAACAACTTATTATGCAGCTCTAAAACATAGTGCAAGATGTTTCAGGTGGGTAATAGGGTTATGACCATAAACTTGAGCACGTCTAAATATAACATTTTTCTTAACTGTAAAATATTCTTTCATTTCTTGAGATCACAATAATTCTTTGCAACAAATCTTGTTAGGGATGTAAGCATCAGTGAGATAAGAAGAGGAGAAACTGGCCACGCCTTCTATTTCGGCCTTCTTCTTGCCACACAGCAAAGCCCTCACCTAGGATTTTGTAATGTTACCACGATTATTCCACAGCAGGGAGACCCACATTCTCTACTTAACATGTGACTTCTAAAACAAAATTGAAACTGAATCAACCTGAATCCTCTCCTAATATTTAAACCACTATTTGATTCATGCATAATAATTTTAGAACCTCATATACAAGATTCTATTTTAAACTCTTGTCACATGTTCAGTTTAAAAACCAAAATGAAGGTATCCAAGGTATTGTGCCCATTAACTCTTTTAAGAACTGTGAATATCCTCATTATATAATATTTTCAGATGCCCTGCTATGTTATAAGAATTTTTTGCTCTAACACAAGTAAAGAACAAGTTAAGTCTGTCTGTTAGTCAGTTGCATTTTTCCTAGGATACAGTCAACCTGGATAATGAAGCGTCAATGTTTTTGCAACAGTGAGAAACGACTGCTGTTGTTATTATTTCCACCGTCATAGCCAATCCTATCATTATTGTTATTCCTCGGCTGTACCTTTGTCATATTTGACATTCCTTAACCTCTAACATCTCAGACTAGATCATGTAGCCCAGGGTGATCTGGACTGGCAAAACATGTTCTGCTGCCCACTGCTTAGGCCACTTTAAGGGACTAAGCACCTTGAACCAGTAATGTTTACTCCAAACCAAGAATGATTAACCCCCTGGTGCTTTACCACCCAAGCTCTTCTTGAGGATGATTGCTAAGCTGTGGGCCTGGCCCGAGAAACTTTTGCCGGAGGGGCTTTATCCCACAGGCCACCTACCCCTTGCCTTGGCCACCAGGTCTGTGTACCCTATGCTTAAACCATCCTGGTTACAATTTTAGTCCAAAAATGACCTAGGTGCATTTTTGGACCACGCCTTCAGTCCAGAATGGCTTTGGGTCACATTAGTACAACAATGGCCTTGTGATGCAGCATGAAGAATTCATTTGGAATATCAGTGTAATCCAATGAGCACTTTTACAATTGTGTTCTTCCTCAAGTATAAATATTAGGTTCTTCATTTTGTTGTCAAAACCCTTCATCTCAGTGTTTTAAACAGAGAGACCAAGTTTCACACATACACAACAATTGAAATACAGGCTTATACCTGAACAGAAATGTGTACGCATTATTACTGTTGAAAAACTTTGCAATATGGCACAAAAACCAGATTATGGAAGTAGGAACATCACCATTTTAAAACTGTGCTTCAACATCCAAGGGTCCATAGTTGCTCTCTACATAAGGAATCACCCAAAAAAAAATCAATGATTATCCTGTCATGCATAAATGATAAATTTAAAAATAAACTGTACCTGATCCTGAAGTGCTGTGTGGCTGGTAACATATGGTCTTGTCGCCAGGTTGCGCAGTTTGCTGATGTCTACGGCAGTGAGGGGCTGAGCTTTAATTCCCAGCCACGAGATGTCAGTAGGGTGTACACCAAGCCACCGAACCATGGGCACTGCTAAATCATCAGACTGGTGACTCATGTTCTGGAAGAAAGAACAGAAAGTGCTTTCCAACTTGTAAAAATCCCACATGCAGGAAGACCCCTCCCTCCTTTGCAGTTTATCATAGATTTTCCACATTATCTAAAAATACCCTTGCAAGGATGCAATGCCTGTAATTACTTTACGGCCTATCAAGCCTCCTGCCAAATGCTGATAGACTATGAAAGACTCTCAGGTTACAATCCAAGTTAGGTGGCTGAATGGTAAATAAACCATATCTTCTGCCCTGGTCCAAAGGACCAGATTTGTTACACAGCAGCCCTGAGGATGGGAGCAGAGATTGTTCTCAGAACGTTCGCAGAAGATATGGTTTCTACACCATTCAGCCACCTGAAGCGGCTTGTAACCCGAGAGTCTTTCATCAATTTCAGTTGCCGCGAAAGCTTCACTTTATACAGCTGCTAGACTAGTTGAAGTTAAAAATACATGGAAGTTTATTATTATAGAAGCCCACCCATAAACCTTCCCCTCAATCATACCAATAATTTAGTTGTACTTTGTCCCTTAATGTGAACTATCTACAAAATTTTGGTCAGGAAGTCTCACACGAGAAAACCACGAGGTACAGGAAAAGATGAAATAGATATTTAAATGCATCTTAAAAATAGGTCATACAGGTGAGAACTGAGTTCAGCAAGTGCAATGGCAGGCTTTTCTAAATATGAAGATATCCGTCTTCTGGGTTATTGCGCTGTGTAGTCTGGTCGATGTTAACCATCGCCCTGATGACGGAGGCAATGACCTCTGAAAAGTTGGTTAACATCGACCAGATTACACAGCGCAATAACCCAGAAGACGGATATCTTCATACTCACCGCTGTGAGAACCTCAAGTCTTTTCTAAATATGGTAATGGAAACTATATCCAACATGAGCAGGGAATTTTGCTAATGCTTGAAAAACTAAAATCTTTTCAAGAATCAACTTCCACTATGGTGTTAGTTATTCATTTCCACTTGAACTGGAAATTATTTTATTTACTACAAAATATGGCCTAATTTTGCACAAATTTTCTCTTTATGAAAGGATGGAGGATTATGCAAGCAACAAGTGTAAAAATACAAGTACGATTTGAGGTTTTCATGGCGGTGAGAATAAAGATGCAATCTTCTAGGTTGTAGCGCTGTATAGTCTGATAGATGTTTATCAATGTTTTAGAGGTCCTTGCTGCCTCCATCATCAGGGCATCCCAAAGATGGCAGCAGCAAGGACCTCTAAAATGTCAGTAAACTTCTACCAGACTACATGGCGCAACAACCAAGAAGACAGCCATCTTCTGTAAAAATACACGTGCTAACAGAACTATGAAACAGTGTGATCAATATATCTCCAGTACAGATGTGCCTCATGCAATTCAGTATCTTAAAATTAAGGTTCTCTGAGGATTTCTCTGGCTCTACAAGAAAATACCAGTCTGATTAATATACCATGACTGCTTTCTTTCAAACCATTTCCCATGCTACAGTAGGACTGTATAAGGGAATTACTTTTGACAACATTGTATGAGCATAAAGAAACTGACCAGTGATCCGAAGCGGTAGATGCACATGATCTCGATGCCATGAGGATCAGCATCCACCAGAGCTAACACAGGCACACTCAGGAACTTCCATAATAGCTGAACCAACAGCCGAGTGGCCACATCGGGGAAACCCTTTCCCTAAAAGGGATAACATACTTCTGTCAAGCGGCATGGAAGCAAGATTTTAAACAGATATGGGCAACATACAGACGTTACATGATGCAAGTTCAGTGAAACCTAGAAGGCTATGATGGCTAAGATGGGAAAGATATAAAATCCATACAGAATTTTGGCTGGAAACATCTTGTAAAACATCCACTCGCAAGACAGATGGAGATGGGAGAATATTTAGATGGATGTTTGGGCACAGATTTTTTGGGAATGATGTTAAGAAATTACAACTGCATTCACAACAAAATTAAGAGCAGACCAAATTAATGGAATGTCTTCTATCTCACAGTTCAGAATCATTTGTATTTCTGATACATAAACCTGGTCTCTCACATTAAGAGAACACAGAATGAGGGTTTGTCGCAACAGAGTGCTTCTGAGAATATTTGGACCAAAGAGCGATAGAGCAATAGGAGGATTGAGAAAACTGCATGTAATTTGCACTTTTTATTAAATATTATTAGGATGATTAAATCAAGAAGGATAAGATGGGTGTGGCATGTGATGATTATTCTGATGATCTAGGGGGGAGGATTATATTAAAATGGATATTGGGAAAACTGGGTTTGGGAGTATGGACTGGATTTATCTAGCTGAGGATAGGGACCAGTGGTACACTCTTGGGAACATGGTAATGAACCTTTGGGTTCAATAAAATATAAGGAATTTCTTGACTATTTGAGCATACTATTGGCTTCTCAATAATGACTCCTCTCCTTAGAGTTTGTTGGACAGGTTTTGAGGATGGGAGTGAAATCAAATTGGCTCAGGATTCTGTCCAAAGGTGGGCTTTAGTATTAGGAAACTTGAATATTCAGGGTAAACCAAAGAATTATTTTATTATTTTCTACATTAGTTTATTTGGCACTGGCACTCCGTAGGAGCAGTAATTTTGGCTGGGCTCATTATGGAATGGTTTAGCAAGTCTGATCAAAACCATTCTGTGCAGTGCAGTTCATTGAAATGTTACAGGTGTGTATTCCTCGTTCCATACGTAAAATGCATTCATTCACACAGTTAATGCAGCTGTCACTTCCTGGCTCCCAACTGGAACTGATGACTCATTATCAAGCACTGCATTGTCTTTCCAATATCAGTCAAATATTATTCCATAAAAACAGTAACATCAACTTGCCTTTTATTACAGCAGTTCTTGCTGAGAGCCGGGAAGATACAGCTGCATTTAACATCATCAAAGGATGTAACATACAATGGACAAAGGTTCTTTTGGATGGCAGTACTAAGCAAAACGTGCACACAGGGCGTGGCATATTAGCCTTTCATCCTACCAGAACCATTCTATCTGATGCCAAGTTACATGTTTCAGGCAACTCTTAGATGGGTAAGTAAATATAATGGTGGAAAAAGTATTTACTCAGTGAATTCATTGATAAAGTTGAATGTATCTACCACTTTCCAGCTCCTAGCAGGAACTGCTATATCATATCAGTAAGTTCATTTAATTGTGATACTTGACTTGTATTGGTCAAATTCTATAATCTTCATAAGTCATTCAGCTCCATCCAGGAGTAGAAGCTGCATTCAACTTCATAAATGAACACACAGCATTTTCATGAACTGATATCAACATTTAGAATAATAAAAAAATTGTTAGTTTATCTATTGGAAATGTCTATATTGTGATATTTTTCAAATCCCTGTCTTGGTCAATAATATAACAGCAGTGTAAACGTGCTTCAAGAGGTTCAAAGCAGGGCCTAGAAACATTTTATGTTGATACATTCTTAAAAATTTAACTTTTGTTAAAGAATTACTGATATTTTTTCATGAAAACATAAGACCACAAGAAGACTTTGCTACATTAAAAAATTCAAGCCCAGAATGAATTAATATGCTCAACCACTGTTACTAACTGTGACCAGAATACAGGGTCCCAGTCTCTCCAGAACACCCTCATCCAGCAACTTCTGGAAAGTAGCATCTTTCTCTACAAGTAGTACAAACTGGGCATCAGACTCCAGTCGAACCACGTTGTTTATATCTTGAGGAATAAGCACCCCTGGAACATCAGAAGACTGTAGGATTTAAAGATCTGACAGCAATGAGTACAAAGATGACCTCCTTCTGGCTTATAGTGCCATGTAATCTGATAAAGTTTATCAATGTTTCAGATGTCCTTGGGGCCCTGATGATGGAGGCAGAATGGATTTGGTAAACTTGTACCAGACTACACGACACTACAACCCAGAAGAAAATCATTTGAAAAACTATATTTACTGTGCAGTCTTGGCTCATCAGCAACAACTACAAAATTTCAATTCATTAATTTCTCAATTTGGTCATTTATTTGGGATGAATTAAATAAAAATATAATTCTCTAGTTTCATCTGCAAAAAAGATACTTTCTGGGTGGAATAAATGGCATAAGTGAGATCTGATGTTCTCAAAGTAGCGAACATTAAGATGGTTGTCTTGTGGGTGTTGCACTGGTGGAAGTTCACAAGACAATTCAGATGTGCTTGCCACCTCCACAATCAGAGTGAGGGTCCATTTGCATATAACCGACTACTGACCTTCAGAAAAGTAACAGCAGCACACCTGATAGAGAATCTCACTTTCTCACTTCATCAAAAAGAACTCTGTTTCCAAATCCAATATAACTCACCTCCTGGTGCCATACAATCGATGACATCACCCGTTTCCATGATCAGGGACACAGGACCAGCAACTAGGCCCTTGGAAGTGGCGATGACTCCTAGCTCCCAGGCCGGGGCGTTCAGAAGGCTGCATATGTCGCGAACCGCAGCGTCCAGAAGACCCTGGCTGCGTACTAGAGCCACATTCTGGTAGTACAGCTGTCTGCAGCACAGTGCGTCATGCAGGTTATGTTATACTGCTGTGTTGCGTTTCATAACAAAGCAAAAGCAATAATTTTGTTGTGTCTGTCGGTTTGTCTATTATTCTGTCATTAATAACAGTGGCCCCTTGTCAATTTTTTCTCCAACACTATTTTCCCTGAAAATTCGGAATATGTGCAGAAATGGGACACAGTCCTTTATCTTCTTAGAATTGTTTATAATAGAGACAAAGCGATAAGTCTTAAGTAACTGAATAATATTTAATTCTAACAATCAGGCCTACTACAATTCAGGAAATTTTGTTAACTGAAAGGAGAAACATTAAAACTATAACACAGGAAACCCACAATACTTTGAAAATACAAAAATAATCTGCTAAATAATTAATTGCATGAAAGAACAGTCTTCGTCAATTATTTTCTCCAGTACACCAAAGAGTAGTTCGGCTGAGAAGCAACGGAAAACAATAACAAAATCAACATAGGTGATAGGCATACGTTACTTAAATTTTCAGTAGTTCGCAAATCACCTTTTCCCAGAATGCTTTGCATTATGTGATCACATCGTAAATATTCATTAGTAGTCTACAATTACACATGTAAAGAACAATTTTACAAACAGCTAATAAGTTGGGCCATTACAATTAATAGACAAAATGTTTTAGTAAAATAAAAGACAAATACAAATAAATAGTCAGGACTTCTGAAGCCGAGGCTCGCTTGAGTAATAATTAAAATGTCAGTTCGTACTGCAAAGAAAAGCCTATATGTCACCATTACAAACAGCAACTTGTTACCGCTGTTTAAGCAAATAATGTGCAATAAGAATTAATAATAATCTTTTTTTGGCAAATCAGGACTGGCACATTATCTTCAATCGCTTGAACACTACAGGTCCTTTATACTCTGTTGTAACAGCACAATCTCTAAATACCAACCTCCGAGTGCACGTGGACTGGGTGAAAAGCAGGCGGTGGACTACACCCAGCAGATGGATAATGAGTGCGAACTTGGGGCGACTGCGTCTTGAGCTGAATTTAATCTCGACAGTTGATGCTTGTCCTTCTGGCTTCAGCTTCAACCTGGAGTAGAAACAGAGACGAAGTCTGGTCAACTTTAACTAAACCAGGTGTTCAACTTCTTACGTAAGAGTTGAAATGTCCTCATCGGTGGAAGTACGATTGTTAGATTTTCAGTAGCAGAGCGGCAGGTACTGTTACCGGACATAACAATGGAAGTGGACAAAATAACAGCTTTTGTAAAATATTTTTCTCCGCAGTAATTATTAGACCTAAAATTTTGTCCAGATAATGAAAATATTTATCTTCGCATGGACGAAGAAACATTCTAGGGTCTTTTATTAATGGTTTCTCTGTCTACTGTGGAGACCCCCGTCAATTGACAAAAGTTTTGGATTCTAAGTGATCGGTAGATGTCAGAAGACACTGAAGTCTTACCACAGACATGTCGGAAAATTGATACAGTTCCAACAAAATATGAAAGTATATAATATGTTTTAATTTCTATCTATTATCAGTGTATACTGGAATCTATAATTTCTTAGGTAATAACCAAACAGAGCTAAATGGTGAAACTTCGGTGTTTACCTCCAAATGTCAGATACAGGACTATTTCAAAACATTTGAAAAGCACAAGGAATTGTGAAATACGACGTCTGCCAAAAGCAAGTCGCGAATAAAATTTGCTATGAACCACACCCAACACGCTATTCATACTTTCTACTAACCGGTCTCCAAACTTGACGTTCTTCCAATCTCTCTGATTCCGCAGAGTGAAGACGGGAGACTTTCCCTCAGCTACACTTCGCACTATATCCAGCATCACGTCTTCTATGGCTACCATCAACTGGCTCCTATAAACGTTCATGTCTCAGCTTTAGTATTCTGAGAAGAGCTTTACAGCAGATTCATATGATCGCTCTTACGTTTGTAAATGTATGTGATGTCAAGATGGTCATGTAGCTACTGTTTCAACTCGTATGATCAGAAAGCTAAACTGAAGTTAAATAGCTAATAAACACTAGAATTACTGAAAATTTATATTAGTATAAGGCACAATAAATACTATTAACTACAACTCACACTTCATGCATCCAGTTGGAACAGGAAGGGTAGGCAGGTAAACAATGTTATGTTTAGTTACAGTTTTTTAAAACACCCAGACTACATAGAGTCGAATGATGAATAATGAAGAGGTCGTAGCGTAATATAAAGTACTATCCCGGCACTTTCCGGAAGGAACTGAACCACGAAACCCCTAGTCAGGACAGCCGGTCTACCGGCCGATATTTAAATTTGGAACCTCCCGAATACGAAGCAGGAGTGTTAACCACTCAACCACGACGTTCAGTGTAAACAATGTTACACCAACGACAAAAATGTCGTAGGTTTTGTACCGACTCTTCAACTGTATGATCTAATTTCAATGCATTAAGTAAATTACAACTAAGTACGTAAAAATTTTAAAGCAAATTCTAACCTCCTATCATCCTTATTCTTTGTGTTCTTCCGGGTCTCAGATGTGAAGTTATATGCTAGGCGTAATTCTGCTCCTATTTCCTTCACAGCTTCTTGTAACTTAATTACTAGCACTTCATCAGCACAGAGAGACATAATTTCTTTGGAAATAAAACTAAATGTACTCCCAAATACCGGTACCAAGATAACATATATATTCAACTACTCTCTTCTCGTACTCGAATAGGGTGGGTCTTGTCGACAGTAATCGATATCTAGAGATGACATTCCTTCATTTATACTCACAAGATGGAAGCACGATTAGTATTTGATTTAAAGTGCTATCTAGTAGCAGCATTTAGAATTATAACGTTGCGCCGAATATGATGACATCTAGCGACGTTTAAAAGGTGTTTACTGCCTCTATCATCAGGGCAATGAAGCGTAAATTCGTGAGAAGAAAGTTTCTCAACTCCACAAAGCGAAAAGTCACAGGCAGTGTAAAATCAAAACCTTACATCACTTCGTAGGAAACGTGTGAATGCCACGTAATATATATATATATATTATATTCTACTTTACAACTGCTTAAGGTTATGCTGGTATGAAAACTTCCTCTGTAATTAGAGAAGCTACATGCAATTGAGATTTCTGAAATGTTCAAAGCAAAGGAGAGGACCAGTGAATGTGCACTTACACTACAAGATAAACAGAGCCATAGAGATGAGAGTGGCCTGATGGAACAACTCTCTTGCATTTGTCAAAAGAAAAGTAATAATAGCATCGTTTGCTAACTAGCATAAACCTACACATTCTCTTTCAAGTCTTTCACAGATCCTGTCACAGGTCTTATTGTTATATTTAAAGCAACATACACTTCATTATGCAAAGCTTACTTACTCATATGGTGAATAAATTCCCAGGTTCTAAGGAACCCACTATTAATTACCGTGTTATAAAAGCTCTTTTAACCTTATCCTACACCATCTTAAACCACGCCTTCACAGTCTAATTGTGTAAAACTTATTTTATTACTATTATTTATATACTCCTAGGTCTTGTAGGTAACTTCTTCCTTCGAGGTCACTGAAGTACAAATATATTACATGACTACGTATCCATATTTCCTCAGTAATTGCTAATAAACTCTTGTTATGATACGATTCTGAGATGTCATTAGTTGATTGGTAGATGGACCAATGAGTACTGGAGTCTGTATTCGTATCGAATAAAATTATTAAACTCGCAATAAATATATGAATAGGAACCAAGAAAGGAAAAAAAGTAAGCATCTAGTACAAGAAGTTTGTGTCAGTTAAAATCCTCATGTGCGTTTGTGGGACAGAGCATTTCGTAGCTATGACAGATTCCAAAAGACTTAATCAGAATGATCTCTTCTGTGCCGTTGACAAATTAGAGTCTGCAGTGGGAGGAAACGTTTGCGGAACACCAGCTTAGACGTCATGAATGCGTGTGGATGTACGGAGTTACAGCGCAAGAGACTTCTTCGTTGCCGCCACAACTAAGAGAGAACTTTGTTACTGCTTCCAGGAATCGAAACTTGGTAGTCCAACATGTAGTCTAGTGACTGTCACCAGGGTCCCATTCAAGGCTGGACATTTCTCAACAAGCCTAATGTACTATTAAGACCTTAAGGACTCTCTTCCATGGAATTAGCCTGAATATAGGTTGCGAATAGGTCATTTTTTTAAGTTCTCTCCTAAGACTCCTGCAAGAAAAATACTTCTGTACACAAGCGCAACGTCTTTAAGATCTGCAGAAGGCCTAAAGCAGGGGTACTGTAGGCAGGACCAAACAGTGCATTTCACCTACGCCACTAGCCTGCATGTAGAAGGCAAAGAAAATGATGTAATACGTAAATCAAAAACATTACCGACAAAGCAGCTGAGAAATAATGTTACAGCATAGGCGGTATATGCTTCATTATCTGCTATTAATACCAACCCCTCTGAAATATTTCACATTTATTCTAACGGGCGTTGAATACACAGATTTGTCCCTACTACTGTACTTAACCTTTTAAGAAGTGGTACACATTCACATTTTGTATGACTCGTGTTCCGTCGGTCTGTAATGAATCTTCGTGGCAATTTATCAAAACTGTTACGAAATTGCTGTTGCTAAATCTTTATATATTACTCAATAATTTTCTTGCTTTAACAAATCAGTTAACTTGTTACTTTGTTAAATATACATTTTATTAAATATTTAAGTTAGATAATACAATAATACAAAAAATATACCGGGGCCGCAAAAAAATAATCGGCGGGCAATAGGTTGATAACCCCTGTCATAACGGTAGAACTTCCTGTTTTATCCATTCTAAACCTCGAAATTAGATACAGGTGACGCGTTAAATTCAATCTGCTGTCGTTTTCGAATAAGCAAACGAGAAGCATTTTCTCATCTCTCCGTAAGTAAACATATATTTTCAAACAAATATTCCTTAAAATGCTTCAAATGATTCGAATCGTCTTGACGCACCTCGATTTATGTCACAGTACACTTGCACAAGTCGAAAAAATAGCAGGGACAACGCACAGTTCTGAAATTAGCTTCTGTTGTCTGCTGAAGCATGAGCACAATCGCCCGCCGGAATGCCCACAAGTTATACAAGCAATCTGCGCTTCAAGTATGTTGGGTTGCCTCCTTTCAGGCAGTCCAGTGAGATACTAATGAAAGGAACTGAACTAGCTGTTCTATGTGTAATTAGGTTCGTGCTTTGTCTTTTAGTTTATAATTGTTTTTATGGGTTAATCATTTTGGATTGACTAAGTATGTATAACAGCAATAAAGTTGCTTCCTACTACAGAGTGGAACATGGGGTACTTTTGAAATTCCTTTTCTTTGCAATTTCACATTTTGCCTTGTTAATTTATTGTTTACGACATTCAAATATGTTTCCTTCTTCATATAATTAAATTTACAATATCAGTGATATAAATAATTGGCAGTAGATTCATAAAATGATAAGCGGTTAGAGAATTCTGGCCGGAAAACCTCAAGACTGGAAGCCATATGGGAGACTTAAGCGTAGATGTGAGTATAATATTAAAATGTCTCACCTACTTTACAGTAGAATAGGCAGCCAGACACTCCGACAGTCATACAACCATATAATTGGTCACACAGTCGGCAATAAAATCATTTAACCCACCAGTTAGTTAATGGAATCAACAATTTAATCACATAGTCAATCACCCAAGTACTATTCTAGACAGTCAGCCATCAATTTCAGTCAGAGTCAGAGAGTCGGTCAGTCTACGAGTGAATAATTTTCTATATTTTTCTTTGTAGCTTACCGATTATTTAAGACTTGAGGTTCTCACGACGGTAAATACGATGATATTCTTCTGGGTTGTGACGCCACTTTTATCTCTGCAGATGGAGACAGTATGTTTCTCCGAAACGTTGACGGTATCATAACCCATAAAAACATAGTAAGACAGATTCAGATTAGAGATGCACAGCAGATGCTGCGGTCCATATAAGCTTGAAGGTCAGATGGGCTGCTACAGGTGATGGAGTCCTGAGTTCCTAACCACAGAGGGGTAGGTCATGGGCAGCGGACAGGTGGCGCGGCGCAGCGAGGTCGACTGGCGACAGGGCAGGTGGACGGATAGCGTGTCGACTCTAGCCTTCTTCCACGATCAGGCGATAGTCTGTCAGGAATCGTGACGAACTATTACATTTCGTATCAATCATGAACATTTACGGATTATTTAATTTAATTTTGAGAAATGCTCTTGTCTATGCTCAGCCGAGTTGTTTGCAAATATGTATCAATATAAAAGCGGACCAAACTACGCACGAACGACTAAATGCATGTTTAAAGAACCAGTAGGCTTTAACCGAACATCGTCATTGTATACGATTCTGATCCAGTTAAACCCACAACCTATTTATCTTCGATCAAAATCAGTTTTAGTTGCTGTTTCTTTCTAGGTCTTCCACGTGACTGCATTCAAAGCGATTTCCTCACAAAAATTCTGCGTGCATATCTTGTCTCCCCATGTGTAGCTTAGCACAATGCTGTATGCTACAAATCTCAATCCTCCTGATTTCACGACCTAAACAATATCATATTGTTTGCACAACTCACGAATTTACTTGTCATGTAGTAATGTCTTATCTGAAGAATAGGCTAATTAAATATTTGATCTCTTTCCTTTCAGGTATTCGTATTTAACGATTTTGGTTCGGAGACATCGCATTTCATAACCAGGGACAACTGTTAAAATTATTATAACAAATTCTTCTTGGGCTACCATCCGTGTAAGGTGGTTTAAGGAAGAAAACACCAACGTTCGAGAACCATTTTCGTCCTCGTCTTCAGAGTACTGTGGTACTACTTGGTCGCCGTAAAAATACATGTCAAAATTATTGTTCTGTGCACTGAAATTCTTAATATGTACGAAAACTATTATAAAAATAAATTTTGGATTGTATAATAACAATGTTCTCTTTATTTCAATTGCCGTATACTTTATTTGAGACATACCACAACACTGCCTAGAATTGAATCCCGGGTACACTGTCAATATAGAAGATCTATTACAGGCAAACACAAACAATAATTAAATTATTTATAATAATTCAATTAATTTCTTTATTATTGTGTGTTAACAGCTGCAGGAGTCAACAACAGAGTCAGACCAAGAAGATAAAGTAAATACAATGAACAAAAAACAATAAAAACACGTGACAATAAAACTCAACTAAACACTCGTATATATAATCAATCAAAATACTTCCTCGCATCAAAAAGTTGTCAAATGAGACAATGTTTTTGACAATAATGTTTATAAATCTGAGTGTCTTTTGCGGCAGTGACGCATGTAGCTGAGGACTACGCTGAAATTAGAAAATTCTGTTATTTGTCTGTAGGCAAATTAATACCAACAATGTCAGTGATGGAAGGGCACAGTAATGATTATGATTATTCAATTACATTTTTTATTATTAGCGTGCTCTATCAACAGTCTGAAGGCCAATTACAGATACAGCACAGAGATGAGCTCACGAACACAATGAAAACATAAAAGGTAAAACAAGCAGAATATAAAATACATTAATATGGAGGACGTAAATACACAAGAAAATTGCTACTAAATATATTAGCATATTTGTAAAAATAATTTACATCAATTAAGTAAATTATACTATTATAGAATGTGAAGAAGTGTGACAATTTTCGTCTCGAATATGTCCAAATCCCTGCAGATGACATTAGCAGCTGATGCGCATCTAGCAGAAGGACTGGTTTTGATCAAAGGGCTAAAACTGAACATAGAAAAATCTCTCAGATTCCGAGCAGGGATGCGGAGACCGA